AAATAATAAATAACTAAGGATAAAGATTGGAAGCATTACGTTTCTGAAAATCTGTATATCTGAAGATCTGTATAACGAATCGAGAGAAAGTGCATCGTTTTTTTAATTTAAATTTTACATAAAAGATTGTTATCAAAGATGATACATATTAAAAAAAAAGAACTAGGCTGATGATACATTTTTTCTCGATCCGTTATATAGATCTATTTTTAGAGACGTAATGCTTCCAATTTATATCGTTTACCCTTGGTTATTTATTATTTATTATTTATACTTATTGTCTTTGTAAGTATATGTTCTGTTGTCCACTGTTTCTCTCAATTTTCATTTTACATTCGTTTACCAAACAGTTATGTCGTATTATATATATATTTATATTAATTTTTTAATTTATTCATAATTGTATTACACAGTAAATGGGACAGTTTAATGGAACATATACAACAATCCTTATAAAAACAGTTCAATCTTGATAGTTATGTAAGTTTGTTTTACTATATTTTTTGCGGCTAACTTCATGTTAGCAATTTAAAATATTTTTTAACTTCTTTTGGGGATTCAAAATAAAAAAATCTCTCTTTTTTTTTAGTAAATTTAATAATTTAATGACCAAGATTAACTCGGATATCATTACCACAGTTTTTTTTCGTATTTTATACGTTAATAGTTTATATGTTAATAGTTTATTCGTATGCGTTATCATTTTGTTATTAATAGTTAAAGTAAATTTTTTTGTACTGTGAAGAGGATCGTAGGTCGAAATGTATACGTTTTAATATTCATTTTGAATAAATGATATAAAATACACACAAATAACCAGTGTTGGCATTTTATTTATTATTTTTTCAATTTTTTATGAAATCACGCCCAAAATTATTTGTATTGAATGGAAAATGTTAATTGAATAGGATCATAAAAAAACTAATACTTATATAGGTAAGTAAAAAATTGTTATGTAGCATGTTGAGGTGATATATTCCACTTATGTAATCAGTTGTAAAGTTCATGCTATTACTATTCCACTGCGCTGTAACAATTTGTGAGCAACTACAACGATATTCTTCCATTCAGTCCTATCCGACATCCTTTCTCTCTGTATACTCATCACGCTAATGTCCTACTTTCCGATTATTGACAGGCTATAAATGTCGACTCGTTTTAGTTGTTAGTCAGTCGTGTTATCCAGAGGCGGCGAAGTAAAATTTTTGATTGAGGGAGAGAAGAGAAGGGTGGGGAAATAAATATATTTCTTCATACATATCTTTTCTACATGGCAAAAATAGCCGTTCTAATTTTATTTTATTTTTTTTAAATAAAATTATTAATGAGCTCCTCCATATTTAACTTCGACTATTTCTCGATAAATATATAATGTCGCAATATGATTTACGTTTTTGTTTCATTGTCAATCGAAGATAACTTTTTAAATGTCTTAAATAAGAAAATGATCTTTCATTCGAACAAGTTGATGTAAGAATCGTTAAAAGAACAAATAAATTTTACGTATTCTGATACAAGATCTCTGATCTCGAGATTGTCACGTAAAAATTGTATTACTAACTTCCATCAAGCAATGCAGTGGCATTTTTCGTATGTTTGTAATTTCTAAATTACAATTACTAATTTCTAAATTTCTCCCTGATAAAATATCATCACAGATATGAAATTCAATGTATGGAGTACTCCATACCAACCATACTGGAGTCGCCGCCCATGGTGTCATTGTTGCGTAGTAACAAAGTCTTATCTTATCTTGATTTATCGATCGTTTTTTGAATTTCTTTTTGCCTTTTTTAAATTAAATAACGAGTTAACTTTAGAGTTCAAAGAATTTTAACTAAATTTAAAAAGTATAATTAATCTGACACTGACTGGCCAACAAGTCAAGAACTATTTTTGACTAAATAATTAAATTATTATTGTTTAACATTTGCAATATAATATTTAATGTCCGTGGTGAGCTTCTTTACTTTCATTGTGAATTAAATTTATTAAAAAAATTTTTCCAAATTTCATTTCTAATATATTCTAAAAAGTTCTTCTTTTTTCTTTTTAACATTCATTTAACTTTAATTATGATATATGATTTTATGTAGTGGAAGTATAGAGATGAAATTCTCTTGGCAATTTTTGGCGCGATTCAGGTTATGCTGGAATCCCACGAGGCATATTTGCCGCGTATCCAATCGAATAATCGCGTAACCAATCAATAATCAGTAAGATTGCCGTCACATGCGGCGTAATTTGCGTAAGCGTAACTTGCGCATTCTATTATATAAAAATGAGCGAATTTACTAGAATACTAATTATTTCATTGGTCAACACTTAGTAAATTGCTCGCTTTTGTACAATAATTTTCACCTTGTTTGAAAATACAGAATCGACTCCCTGATATTCCCGGTTTTGATTGGTGACCGCTTATCCAATCAGCAAGCAAATCCCATTTGCGCATCTCTTATAACATAGGACTTTAGTATGCATAGAAGCCAGCAGATTTCTTTCTGATACCATAATATTGTATGTATAGAGCTGACTTGTCAGCGGCTGTTGAAGTCACTAATGTGTTTACTAACCGTAGCAATTATAAAAATTTTTTCAACGGTCGATACGGTTTATGATTTACGAATTTATTTTCTAATAGATTTTATAACGTTCAACATATAACGTTCATCACTGTGGGTAGGGCTGCTTAATCTACAATAAAAAATGAGCTTGTGGGTTGATAAATATCGTCCAACGACACTTGCGAAATTAGATTATCATCTCGAACAAGCGGAGAATTTGAAAAATATGGTAAAATATTATAATATTGAAGCAATAAAAATTATCTAAAGAATGAGAGGTTAACCGGCTTTAAAAGCGCGCCTTCTGAAGACAATAACACATATTGAATTTTGATTTAAAATAGAATAATATAATGATAATGGACATGATTTGTTGAAAATATGTATCTATTATCATAAATTATTATAAATAAAACTGGAAAAAATTAAAGTAGCTTTATGAAAAAGCTTTAGCTTAATAAAAAAAAGTTGTAATAGTATAAATTATGGTAATGGGGATTGAAATTGTATTTGTAAAATTTTTTTTAAATATACATTAATTTTTATATTATAAAAATTATATTCTTTATAACATAAATTAAAATTTTTTTGAAAATCTTGTGAAAATGCAGTACATAATTATATTAAGTTCAACTAACATAAGACTTGTGAATTATTTTTACTTTATTCCTATTTTGAAAAAAATAGGTGAACAAACGAGACTTTCCACATTTATTAGTACATGGACCCCCTGGTGCAGGAAAGAAAACTCGAATATTATGTATTTTAAGGGAACTTTACGGAGTTGCGGCTGAAAGATTGAAAATAGAAAATCTGCAGTTTGAGGTAATTCCTTTTTTTTTTGTTTCAATACATTAACTATCATTTAAAGCTTTTATACTGTCGCTATATTACAATAGCTAATTTTAGCATATTTGTGATCATTTGAATTTTACAGATTACATAGAAAAATATAAGTAATTAAAATATACTATCTTTGATACTTTTTGTTATATATAACGCTTTCAGACTCCATCTAAAAAAAAAATAGAAATATTAACAATAAGCAGTAATTATCACACAGAAGTAAATCCGAGTGATGCAGGGATATATGATAGAATTGTTGTCATGGAATTAATAAAAGCAACTGCTCAAACGCATCATATAGATATAGGCCAGAGAGAGTTTAAAGGTATTTAAGAAAATTAGAACATTTTTCTAATATAGATCTATTCTAATATAGATCTCTTATGTAATAAAATATAAATTATTATAAAGATTAAAATTCAATTGTGTGACATAGTGGTACTATTATCAAATGTGGATCAACTTACAAGAGATGCGCAGCATGCACTTCGCAGAACAATGGAGAAATACATCAGTACGTGCAGACTGATACTTTGTGCGAATTCAACGTCGCGAGTTTTGCCTGCGATTCAATCACGATGCGTGCGAATCAGAGTCCCTGCACCAACCGCCCCCGAGATAAAAAATATTTTACACTCGATTTGTAAACGTGAAGGACTTACTCTACCTGATGAATTAGCCAATCGGATGGTTGAAGTTAGCAATAGAAATCTTCGACGAGCAATATTAATGCTCGAGGCTTGCAAAGTCGAACAGTAAGTACTGGTGTATATAGACATGTATGCGAAGGTACACATGAAAAGCATAATGAATTTTAAATTTTACTATTTCTTTCGTTTTAAAGTTCTTTTTCTTTGTTTTTTCAGATATCCATTTACTGTTGATCAAAAGGTAACAGAACCAGATTGGCAAGTATATATACGAAATACAGCTAGTATGATGGTCTCTGAACAATCTCCCAAAGTACTTCTAGAGATACGCAATAGATTTTACGATCTGTTAACGCGCTCCATACCATGCGATCTGATTTTTAGAGGGTTATTGAAAGAATGCATAAAAAATTGTGATGATCAGTTAAAAAAAGAAATTATCGAGGTCGCATCGGAGTATCAGCACAAAATGATACGTGGTTCGAAACCTATATTTCACTTGGAAGCTTTTGCTGCGCGATTTATGACGATTTACAAAAAATACATTGAATCATCCTTGGATAGTTTTATATAAAACTGTTACTATCTGTACTTCTAAAATCTATTTGTAAAATACAAATAAATTTTAGAAGTAGATTTTTATATCTTTGATAAAACCATCGTTATGATAGAGTAAGATTTTTATTTAAATAATGTAAATGTTTAAGCAAGGAATAAAAGCCAGATTTCATATAATCACTTCTATAATTTCGGATACAAATTTAAATAATACTTTTTGTAATTTGTAATCGTATGAAAGTTATTTTTAAATTTTTTATTTTAGCATCATTTTTCTTTGTGTTTAAGGCTAAAATATTATCTTTTTACAAAAATAAACGTTGTAATCTTTATTACATATAAATTCAATTTTAAATTATATAAGTGGAAAAACAAATACATATTAGTTTTAATAAATTATTTTATTCTGTAATTGAAACATTAATACAGCCGTAATATAATCTGATAATACAATTAATTTTAAAGAATTATTTTCTGATAAATGTAAACACAACACTTACATCGCCGCAAGTATAAGTGCGGAGACTACTGCCATTGCAGATACCATATATCCAGTACTATATACTTCCTTAATCGTTAGAAACATTCCTAAATCCCAAAGCTGCAAATTTATACCAACATTCATGACAATTTATTGATATAACATTAAATGTATATAATATTAGATTATTGTATCAATTCCTTCTGAGCAATAACAGAATGCAAGTTGGATATAACAATTGCATTGTTAATATTCCTATTTGTTTTAAATAAAATTAAGTTAATAATACAATTACATAATAATTACGTACCAAATGACGGATTCCATTGTACGTATGAAAAGTAGCAGGCAAAGCAAGCAAGGTCTTGCCGACGAACAATATAGGTAAAGGTAAACATAAATTATCCATTGTTTCTATGAAGCATGGAATACCACCTGGTATAAGCAATGTGCCTAAAACATAAGACAGAAATGTCTAATTTGGACATATTTATATTATATACATTAGATAAACTGGATATATAAATTAGAGCTGTGATCAAAATCTCGCTACAAATGCTTTGAAGCAACATCGCATTGACCGTACCCTAGATCACATGTCTTACCTAAGCCAAGAAACATTGCATAACTGGAGAGTATAATGCCAGTGGTGCGATGTGTTATTGAGAGCAACGTTGTTAATTGAACTTGATAGATGGTTAAGTGCGGTGATAATGGTCTCTTCAAACGCATGTTCTTCTCATCGTGGGATTCATATGTTGCACTTGAAAGTAATGGTTTTGAAACCGCGGAGCTGAGGGGGCTAAAACATGTTTTATTATATCTTTATTATAAGATGCAATTAATAAAAAATATTATAAAATATCAAATACATCCAAGTGACAGACAATAGTATTCTTATTAAAGCTGTGATGTATGTAATAATCATAATTATTTTCATAGAAAATTAGAAAAATTAATGACTTTTGTATCCTCAAATAGACAAATTTTGACAGAATGTATAGTGACGAAATTTAAATATTGAAAATGGTTGCATAAATATTCAAAGATACGTTCTCATATGACATTCTTCCAGCATATTCGATGCTATAAGAATTGCAACAATATGCTACTTATTTTATCAGTAACAAAATGCAATTAATGTTTAGCTATGCTTAGCATGTCTATCTAGGTACATGACAGTTATGTAAATAAAAGGTTATATATTACGTAAGGACTTACCAACATGTGTATATGCTTCGAAAATGTCGAAAATTGACATTACGCCGACAAAGAAGTCTAAAAAGAATGGAACATCATTTACATTTTAGTCTTTAACAAACAACATTTCAATAAAAAAACAAATTTTATGACATACCTCGTATAGACCAGCGCCATTTTTGTTGACGTTTGCAAATACTAGACTCTATACTTTCGACAGTTGATAAATGAGCGCGGATGATTTTTATTATATATATTGCAATTTTTAAAGCAATAAATAAACAATAGATCTGTTCGACTTTTTACATTCAGCATCTTCGCTTTCTCTTTTTTTAGCGCCAAATATATATCTATCTCATTTTAAGTGTAAAAAGTGTAAAAAAGCAAGTCAAATAGACCAATTGTATTCAAATAATTTCAGCTGATACAAACTTGGATAGCGGAAAATTGTTGATTAAGTTCAAGCAAAACTTGAAAAACAATTCCAAAGACGATTGATAAAGTACGATCTTATGAATTGCAAAAAAATATCCTTTTTAATTTTTATATTTATTTATTAGTGACGTGAAAGTTTATAAATCTTTTTAGAAAAAATCGATTGTTTATTTAAATATTTCAAAGTAATAACATAATGAATATCTGTAATCAAAATTTGCTATTTCAATTAAAGTGAATTTTCAGGGAAATTGAATTTTTACTTAATTGTTCAAAATTTTAAAGTTAGCTCCGATTATTTTATATATTGAATTATATATGCCTGATACAAATGTATATATAACAATAGATACTTATGAAAGTTAAAAAGTAAATACAAAAATTAAACAGTAAGAAACATTATTTTTAAAATATGGTAATTCCTGTAGTTTATAGAAAAAAAATATATATATACATATATAGTATATATACATATACATATGTATGTATAATTCTTAAACTGTACATGTATATACATATACGCTGAAATTAGGATTTTAATAAAAAAGAATTCATCATGAACTACAACTAATTTATCATTGCCTTCCATATAAATTAACAGTATATAGAATACTAGAATATTAATAGAATTTATACATTAAAATTCTATTGAAGTACATACATACAATCTACATGATTTCAATCCATTTCGAAATATATTTTTGATCTTTTCAGAAACTCACTAGAACTTTTTTTTTCTTTATGAATACCTATACATTTATTTATCAATTGCGACATTATTGCTGATTTATTTGTGCTTACGAATGTACTCGGTCGTACTAGTGACTTAATACATTAAACTACGCGAGCTAATATTGTACTATTTAACATTATATTATTTGATTTTCGGCGATCTCCCTCATTTCGTTGTTTTCACCACCATGATCGATGCACAGCCTTGCCACTTACAAATCGGTAAATACCTTTTTATCTAACTCAGAAATCAAAACGTTAGGGTTTGAAATGGGTAGGGTGCACGAATAATCGCGGCATATGAAAACCGTCGCCCGGTTTTTCTGCGGCTTCATTCTTTTAACAATCATGTTTCTACGGAACAATACGTTGTCCTCAGAATCAGCTAATATCAACACCCTACCAGGTATCAAACGCGAACGGATTATTTCCAGCATTTCAATCGTCTCCTTAGCATCTGCTTTGCCTGCTACATAAATCTGGAAAGAAAAACTCGGTTCAGAAATGTATTAAGAATACTTATAATCTCATGAAAAAGCTAATGTGATAGAGGCAGATAAACAGAAGCACGCACCTGTGTTGGATGGTGAAACTCGATCAGCGCTAACATCATTTGTGGACATGCAGCCGGACAATTCGCAAGTTTATTGCCGAATGCACACAGAAGTTTTTCAGCTTTATGTCTGAGATCGTCGCGATCCAAGTAAATCGCTAGGCGCAACAGATTTGAACATGCAATTGAATTACCAGATGGTTGCGAGCCATCGTCAGCTGCAACAAAAAACAGATGTTTATAAAGTGAAGAGATTTACATGTCGATACCATTGAGAATATAATAAAATAATCAACAAACACACAGATGAGATATTCAATAGACAGCGTTATAAATATTTGAATGTAATATAATCTTTACAGCAAAATTAGGTTTCGTTTGATTTTATTTAATTGATATAATTGTTGTGTCAAACCTTTAAAATTGAAATTACAAAATTAAAATTACTAGAAGAACATTCAAACATACAATCTTTCGTCCGTGTTAGTATCGGAGACTCTTCGGCCATAGCAAAGTAACCACCATCTTCCGAGTCCCAGAACAATCGGTCTTGAATATCTTGCAGCTCTTCGGCAAACTCGACCCAATGCGGATTAAAGGTGGCCTCATACAAGTCGAGTAATCCTTTCACGAAGAACGCATAATCCTCATGGAAGCCAGGTATCGGGTCACTCCTATAAATCGTCAGCATAGACCACATATTGATAAAAAGTTTAAGACAATACTTACCTCTGTACAATTTTGTCGTCTCTCCTGCGGTAACAACTGCGAAGTAATATGCGTTTATCTTTATTAAACAGATATTTTTCCACGAATGTGGCAGCTTCCGTTGCTGCTTCAACATAGTCCTTGTTTTTTACAGCTATTCCAGCACGCGCAAGGCCACTTATCATAAGACCTGTAAATAGATCACAAATAGTTATTAGATTTTACAAAAATGCAAACAAATCACGGTGATATTAACAAAAGTATTATTCATTATAATTCATTACCATTCCATGATGTGACCATCTTATCGTCCAAACTAGGCCAGGGTCTATGTGATCTGTCTTCATATAAGGTAGTACAGGCTTCTTTAATATATTTTTGTGTCTCCTTTACATTAAGCTTAAAATGATTAGCAGTATCTTCTATTCCCGACTGCATCGACAATACGTTTTTACCTGTAAGCTCGCCATGAGGATCCTATATTACAGAACAAAATTTATGCATTCATAAATTTTGTTTTATAAATATTTCTTGCTTTATAATTTTAATTGCAAAACATACTTGTGGTCTTTCTACATTTCCTTCCTTCCGCACTGAGAAATGTCGGCAGATAAGGTCAAAATATGTAACATTGTCCTTACCAGGTACTTTCTTTTTTAAAAGAGCCTTAAGATTGTCATAGCTCCAAACATAAAATGCGCCCTCCCGTTTCGCTGGGGCATCAAACGTAGGTAGTGAATCCGCATCCACCGCACTGAAGAAACCGCCTTCCTGAATAATGCACATGTTGTAAATATTTTATATCTTTCCACATGTTTGTTGCTCTATACATACAATTTTGATTTCAAAAAGTTTAAGAGAACAAAATATTATACGTTAGAATCTCTTATGAGCATTACATTTAGAACCTACATAATATTAGATAAATAAATGAAAAAGTAATGTAATACCATATGCGTCAGCATACGTAGGACGTACGTTGCGATATCGTCTACGATATCGGAAAAAAAAGAATCTTTTGTAATGATGTACGCATCGACGTAGCATTGTATAAGCTGAGCTTGATCGTAAAGCATTTTTTCGAAATGAGGAACTTTCCATCGAGCATCTACAGTGTATCGATGAAATCCCTGAACGATAAAAATAGTTTTAATTATTTAATTATTCCATTTGTGCGTTGTAATAATGAAAATGAAGAAATTAGCCTTACTTTCCCCACGTGATCATGAAGTCCGCCAAAAGACATTTTCCTCAAAGTATTCAAAGATGCATTTAAAGACATCTCAACCAACATAGTCGAGGTACTTAGAACATGCATACTGAGAAGAAAATTTAAGTTAGTCGGCTCGGGAAATTTCGGCGAGTTCGGATTCGTAGCAGATGAGCTACCAAATCCGCCGTATTCTTCGTCGTATATATTCAATAAGACGTGAGCACACAAAAAAGCGCAGTCAATCGCAGGAACTCCATCGTCCTATATCATAAAAATTAATGAATAAAATATAATGTTAAAATAATTTTAAATTCTATTTAAAACTATTTCAAATATATTCACTTTTATGTCATGTCTGCTTGTGCTTAATTCCTTCAAACGATCCGATACAATAGCGGCGGATTTGACCATTTTGTCTCTTCCTTCTGTCCACTAGAATAAAAGAAAATATTATTTATAAATCTAATTTCATCTTACAGAGTAAAACGTAAACCAAAAATATTTATATCGGATGAAAATATCATTCTATATACCTCCTTCACAATTCGTGTCAAGTATAATGTAAACATTGCACAGCTGAAATATGTTCCGCCTGTTATCGGCATTAAATCTGGTGTCAGGAAAACATTCAATGGCCAACCTCCATGACCTCTCAATCTCTATCAAACGTAAATATCTTCATTACCATGTTGAACAGAGTTAATATACAATTATAAGTAACACATATATTTATAAAGTATATTTGATATATTTATTAACTATAATATAATATTACGCTTAGTATATTTATTAATCAATAAGTAATAAAATATGCATTTTGCTGTTTATTCTCAGATTTTGCATAATGCAATAAATTTAACACTTGCCTGAATAAACATCATGCACATCATATCAATATCGGGCCTCTCTTCTCTATCTACTTTAATATTTACATAATTCTCATTCATGATTTTTGCAACTTCCTCATTCTTAAATGATTCTTTCTCCATCACATGGCACCAGTGACACGTAGAGTAACCGATTGACACAAAAATTATCTTGTTTTCCTTCTTTGCTTTTTCCAGAGCTTCGTCGCCCCAAGAATACCAATCCACAGGATTGGTTGCATGTTGCAATAAATACGGCGATCTTTCCAATCTCAAGCGATTTTTCTTCACTTCAGGCTCGCTTTTGCTATCCTGTCGAGATGTTGATGCCATCTTGATGGATGAAAGAAAAGGCGCTTTACTGTTACTCAACCTATTAATTTTTTAAAACGTATTTCTCAATAATAAGCTTTAAATTTTAGTTTTTATAAAATATTAGGTAATCTAAATATAATAATATATAATTGTGTGCATGTATGCATATGTAATTACTTTTTCATTTTCCCCTCAATAATAGGAAGTGAAGCACTTTCAGTGAAATGAAAATTTTTATGATACCCGTGCGCTCCTGTACTGCACTGTTTCTTAGATAGCTCAGATATGCAACGAACTACTGATAAAGAACTGCATCTTCCCGAAATCATAACACGCCTGGCATGGAGAATACACGCAGCAAAGTTGATCCTGCACATATATAAATATAAACAATCAAATAATTAAATAATAATTAAACCGAATAAACAGTATTATAATAATGTTGCTCATTTAATGGAACATCTTTCAATAAGAAAAAAAAAGATTTATAGAAGTAAAAGTCAAAATTCTATGTATTGCATAAATAAAATTGGAAAATTTATATATAGAGGAAAGCCCTTTATTACGAGATAGCGGCGTTTCTGTTAAATTAATAAACGCTATCTATTGGTTCCACCATGAATTTATTGCTTTTAAATTGAAAACCATTTAGTGAAAAATTCATTTTTAATTCAATTATTAGATCATACCTGTAGTCATTGTAAAAAAAGATTTTTAGAATTTGAATGTCTTCAAGTTTCATTGACATGAGCCTTCAAACCTTGTTTATTATTTAATAAATAAAAATTTGGCAATAAATTCTTCATGTAGTGATAGAGTAAGGTTGTACTAATAGAAAAATATGGGATATGTTAAATTGCTTAATTAAAGAAGTCAGATTTGATGATCGTTAAACCATAAGGCTTAAAGAGCCTTTAGAAACATTGAATAAATTTTTTTAATTGTAATACTGATGTACTTTGCATTTTATTATTGATTTCTCATGGCATCTCATATTAGAAGCAGAATTTTTTGACTTTGCAATTTGCTTATTTTTTACATTTTTTTAATTTAAAAAAAAAGTAGAATTTGAATTAAATTTTATATAACATTATCTTAAAGCTTATTAAATTCAAAGTGACTTATTATTTTTTTTTTAATTTTGCTTTTAATTTTAGGCTTCTATTATAGCATTCACCCAAAATATACTATCTAATAGGGGTCTTTCCTCTACGCATACATAAATTATATGCGTCTGAAATAAATAGCTAAAATTGAGCAATGCATTCTAAAGCATCTTACATAAAGAGTGGTCCTTTATTATCTATTATATCATATTTATATATCATAACGTAGAAAGCATATTAAATTTAAACGGAAAATTGAATATATTAAAAGTGTATTAAAATAAAAAGATTCAATGAAAAGAGAGTATTTTACGAAATAATGTAGTTCTCAAACTGCAGCAAGCGTTAAAGGAGCCATTGTCAAAATTCGCGGGGCACCCGATATAAAAACAAAAGTAGAAATGGCGTATCTACGTTCTACGAGTGGATATCACGCGGCGGATCGATATTTGGCGAAAATCACCCAGTTAATTACGGATTCGTAAACGTCAATCCTTTTAGTAGCGATTAAATAAGAACATGCATGCTCGCCGGTAATACATTACGTACGGAAATTCGCGAATGTCCGAGCCAGCGTAGACTCGTCGAATTCCAATCGTCGATTTATGCTGTCAGAGATGGCGCGTCGAGATTGTCAGATTAATTACTACGCACTTCACAATTCACAACACAACAATCATGCCTGCGTCAAAACTCCACGATGCGCATGTAGTCACATGACCAGTTGCACTATAACCCGCGGTGGACAAACTAATCGAGCGAACGTTAATTATATGTATACCCAGCAAACGAGAATGGATTGAAATGAATTGAAATGGATTCAGATTTTCAGAAATATTGATTTACTAATGTTAAAGTGAATGCTTTTCAATCCTGAATGCATTTTTATTCATTTATAAGAATTCCATGGAGCATATCTCTACGTCTTTCAATCTAAAAATAATATTAGCTTTTTCTGTGCAAAAACACACAATTGTAAATACTGTTCAATTCAAAATTTTGAATAGGAAATGCAGTTTTTCAATTCAATTGCATCCAATTGAATCCAATTAAATAAAAAAAAAAAAAAGTATTCGCGATTTAAAATACGCATTCGGATAGAAAAAAATTTCTATTTTAATTCATTCTCGTTTGCTGGGTAGATAATGAACAAAATTACGAAAGATATCTTTTCATTCCGTTAATAATAATAAAGAGAAATTAATTCTTAACACATAATGATTTTCTAGTCCTTCATTAGACACGACAGGTATCTGTGTTTAATTTACATCACTTTATATTATTTATTACATTATATAATTAATTATATTCAGATAAATTTACAGTTTTTGATGTGTAGATAGCGATTCTTCATTTTGGGCGATTTTATAATAGTAACTTGCTCTTGCACTTATGAAAATATTATTGAATATCAGAAACCTTAATACAATGTTAATATTTTAAATAAGACGCAATAGAAACATACAAACGCAATGCCAATTTGGTCGACTTGCATCATGAATGACTGAGAAGGGGGGGAACTATCATATTTCCTAAGCTCTGTATTTATATAAGCTCAATATTTTCCTGACTCTAAATATTTCTAAAATCACTTCAAGTACGAGATGTAAGAAAGTAAAAAACTGAAACTAAAGCTGAATGATCTTTTTTTTACCTGATATAACATCGACGTTTCAATCGGTATTATCCACATCTTGGAACAGCAATTACGTCTTGCAATCAATAAGTCAATAAGCACTAATAATCTAAAAGGTATATACTATGTATTGCTGCAGCTGCCATGCACTATTTACGTTTCTGAAGGATCCGCAAACGTAAACCATTCGATCAGTGAATCCCGTTGCCCAGCTGTGCTGGTTGACCGTTGACACTATTGGTCTGTTTTTTGTTCCTGCACTAAATTGTTCTAGAATTTTCTTTCTCGCTTTAAATAAATATGAAACGTATATCTATCTCACTTTAAGTTCCAAAAGTGTACACTAGTTCAGCCACAAAAAACAGACCTTATGATTAATAGCTGGTGGAAAGGATAACATAGAGGTGTGCTCAGTTTGCAAGCGTTGAGGGGCTCCGCACAATAAAAGGAACAAAGAATAGAGAATAAGAATTTCAACCTATCGGAATCATGATATTGTGGAATACACAGTTTTTGATAGGTTGAAATTCTTAGGGACTGCGCACAATGAAAAGAATAGGGAATAAGGAATGGAACAGAGAATAAGAATTTCAACCTATCAAAAATTGTATTCCACAATACATGATTTCTAATAGGTTGAAATTCTCTGTTTCTTGTTTCCTATTCCTTTCATTGTGCGCAGCTCCTGATAGCCACTGGTCTAGTTTCCACCGAACATTTAATCCGGATCAGAATGTAAGAACCAACCAACTACAGTCGAGCATTCCCCTGTCGTTCGACTGTAACAGTAAACAGTCGACTGTAATCATTTATTTTATTGTATTGTTTTTATTCCTTGGTAATCTATTAAAATATAAATATTTCGCTACTAACATCTTGCGCTCGTGTATGCCTTTTCAATCACATTGATTTTAATCTTTATCAGAAATTGGATACATTAGAATACATGGTTTCTGACAGATAGAAATCGTTTATTTTCAATTTTGATGGCAATTGCCATGCAATTTGAGACTGATATGAATATAACCACTCAATATGACCCATATCAACATTAATATATTGAAAAAGAATTAGTCAATTTTTATAAATATTTAGTTGAATACTGCCAACTAAATATTTATTAAATATAAAAATATATTTATTTGATACAAGAAATGTTAATTTAATTTAACAATCTTTTTTGAACAAATATTTATTTACTGTAAGTAAATGTTTAGTTGGCAGTATTGAACTAAATATTTATTATATTTTTCAAAATTGATTATATTTTTTTCTCAGTGTAGGTAAATTATATAGTTCTACAACATTTTGTGGTAAGTAAATAAATTGATTTTCTATAGTCATTTCTTTCCAATTTTTAACAACATGAACAGGATCTGGAATTAACTGTAATATAATCTCTAGATCGCAAGGATATGTATAGTATATACCATATCTGCTTCTCTTTTTCTCTCTCTCTTTCTTTCTCTTCGTAATTTTAAACCCTAATTTTGTGAGCAATCCTCTATTTCCCATATCACAAACCAAAACTACTTTTAAACCTACATTATGATATTTTTGAAGTATTTCTGAAATAACCTCTAATTATATCATTTACTGAATAAGATAGCTACATACTACTTTCAATGAAAATCAAGTCTAAACAATTGGAAAAGTAAAGCTTTATATGCCAATTTATTTGTATTGCCAAATAATGTCACATTTCCAATATATGCCTTTGTACTTATGTCAAAATCGATATATATCTGCTCTTTAATTGTCTTTTCATTAAATACTAGTCCACAGATTTTCCTTGTACATAAAATATGAAGAACGATCAACTGCAGATATTTAAAAACATCTTCAAATATTCTGGAGCCCTATTCTTGAATAAATATCGCACGGAAATAGCAATTCCATGTACAATCGACCAATCACAGTCGAGAATTATCATTTTCGTATGCGAAAATTATTCATATGCTCAAGAATAAAGCTGCTAGTTCAAATTTTGCTGTATTTTATTTCTTAAAGTTCTCAATGAAGGAAAAGGAGCAACAAATTTAATTATCTGATTATAACCATGCGATCCACATGCAAAATGCAAGTTCAATCCTTTTTCGATTGTTTCATCTAACCACTTGGAACCTTTTGTAGTACCGTATATAATTGCTCTTTGTTGATCTTTATTAAGAACTGTATTGATTATTTCAGTATTTTCCTCGATATTTTTTTCTAAGTCATTAACTTTATTTTTTAGGATATCTCTTTCCTTTTCAACCATTTTTAATTTTTTTTTTAGTATTTCATATTCTTCTGGATTAGGTAAATTCTCTGTAGACAATATTTGGTTTGCAGTAAATTCTGATGATACATGTACGTCTAGATTAGAATTTGATCTGTAATTTTCCTCTTCAGAGAATGTCTTCAATATATTTATATCAATGGGTTTTTTCATTACAATACAATGTGCAGTATGAACATACTTCTTACATGGCCCAAACGTAATAGATTTTCCTTTTTTGGAAAGTAAACAATAATTATGTTCTTGTAATTCATTTGAATACTGCTCTCTTTTGCAACTATTGTTTTCTTGCTTATCAGAATTTTCTGTAGCAGTATACAAATGATCACTTCTTAATCCTGCCTTTTTGTAAGAAAAAAATTCAGTTGATTCATTACATCGCTGTTCTTGTTGAATTTTTGTAAGAGATTTTTCTTTCATAGGTTCTTCACATTTGCAAAATAAACTTGGTATGGTACCTTTCCTTATAATTTTTTTGTTACCAATGCGGAATAATTCTGATGGATGGAAATGAACCTAAAAAATAAGAGGTACACGTTAGAGAAAAATATCTGTCCTACCAACTACCGTTAACATAACATCAATATGTTAGAATTTTTCACGCAACTATATATATAATTGTTACATACACTCGCATTATATTGAATTTAATGTATTGATATTGAGTGAAAAATTATAACATTGATATTATTTTTGTTAGTGTTTACAGGAATTACATTATAAAACATTTGTATGCATGCTTCGATGCTGACCTCACACAATACAGCTGATTTTGGAGGTTTCCAATCTGAAATTCCAACAGCATCAATCCATTTTTGTCTCAACTTTGGATCTCGAGCAAAGTTTATGCAGCCATATCTTTCTTTATTAGAATTGGTGCATCTGGGAGCACTACATCTGGCAGGCATTTTGCAATGTGCACAAATCCTAATACCTGAAATGTAAAAAAATTCATAGTTTTATTTCATGTTTATACAATACAATAGAGGAAGGTATTGTGATCATGGCCGTAAGCAACGGCACAACTTCGTCGCGATCTCGATATCTGATATACAATTTACAATACATGATTTCTGATAGGTTGAAATTCTATTCTGTATTCCCTATTCCATATTCCTTTCAGTGCGCAGCCACTGAGGCTTTTTGAAACTGTAAACTGTGTTCCAAAATTCAGTGCCAGTGCTGAAAATCTATAGTTTACGTTACGTGTATTATACATTTTTAACACTGGCAGTGAATCGTCTAAAAGCAAGTACGTAATAAGATATTACACATATGGGAAAAATCTTATTTAGAATACATTCAATTCTCAGGAGATTTGCAATTTAATTTTATTTTAATTCTGGCACTCATATATTATACTGAGATTGCGATCTTCATCGAAATTTTAATACTATTAACCATCATTTTTGACATGGTGAATGCCTGAAATATCTTATGATTAAATTTGGGATTACCTTTCTGCGCTTATCCCTAATAAAACACTTCTCGCCATAAATATTCCATCGTTGACTGGCCTAGTTTACATCGTGCACTTGATATGGGTACTAACTAGTAACTTTTTATTGAATGATCTTTTATTGAATGAATTTCGGCGGTATGTTGAAACGTATGCATGATATATGTACTTAATTAATCATTATGATGTATATTGTACCAATTTAGTACATTATTCTTTAAATACATTGCTGAAATTAAAATATTGGGTTATCTAAAAAGTATCCGCGGTACTTTGTCACTAGATATATGACCATCAACACACATCTAGTGACAAAAAATCGCGGATACTTTTTAGATGACTCAATAATTTAATAGAAAGTTACTAGTTAGCATGTATATCAAGTGCATAATGTAAACTAGGCCACTACCTTATCCGCTTATTTACAATGTATTACCCGTGTAAGAAAAACAGCTCACAAAGTATATTTTCTTATTGGCAAGTAAAAGCAATTATACTTTTTCAAAAACCGCAACTTATCTGATATATTGAGGGCTTCAATCCGCTTCCTTTCAATTAGGCTTTGGAGTATTTCAGAGATTTCACTGAAAAACTTTTGTTTTTAATGTGAGGCAAATGAAGCAAACTCTTAATTGATCCATGGAGTATGCTCTAACACGACGCGAATATCTAGTTGCCATATTGATTCCGTGCAACGCGAACAAACTTTAAGATTACGTCGGCCGGTTGTCAAAACACAATTTACAAATATTACGGTACATTTGTGATCACTGACGTATCATCCAGTCGTATCAGATTTTAACAGTCATGAATGTAAAAACAACTAAGACTGAAACGTGGATCCCTAAAATCAAATCCCAGGGCCCCTCGAAAAGTATCTCAAACTAGGAAAATACTATAGTATGCGTTACATATACTATAGCATTATTATTTTTCGTATGTGATACTTTTCAAGAATAGGGCCCCAAGGACGCGATTCCATAACTGTTTTTACGTGCCATTGACAGTTGCAGTGTCGTTGCGCAGTTTTTTTCACTATATAAAGTATCTGCGCAACGACATCACAACTGTCGACATGCAAAGATAGTATTCCTGCAACGAGATTCTCTAAATGTCTTATCGATGATTGTCGCTATTGTTAACTAGCGACAGCCAATGGCAGGACAATTCTGGAAGAAAGCGCGATTCTCATGGAAATTAAAATGATATAGATACATGTTTTTTCATTTGAGTGCAAATAAATTGTTATATTAGATGTACCCACTTTCTTTCTGAGGCTGAAAATCTTTCTGCAACTACATAGAAGAAAATAATATTTAATATTCTGCACACTTTTAAGAATGTAAAAAATATAAACTAAATTATCTAAACATTATTCTAAATAAAGATGACACTTTTTTTCATCTAAAATGCAGATAAAGATAATGAATACTTTTATCATCTAGATAAAAATCAAAATTTCATCTAGATTATCTAAATGATTTATATAGATAAGATCAAACACTGGTTGCAAATCACAAAAACATTCTGAAACACAGAGGTCACGAATCAAATAGGGCGCATTCAGCAGACTCACAATTGAGTAAGCGCTTATTGCTATTGTTGTATTCTTTTAGATCATCCAATCAGCATTTTAGATCTGAAAGAATATATCAATAGCAACGAGCGCTCACTCAACTGTTGAATCCACTGAAGCGACCATTCTCATCGCACTTGTCAATCTATGTATTACGTCATCTATGATCTAAATATCTGACATTACTGATACATTCCAAACACTACAAACAATGCGATAGAATTATTAAGGAACACTCTTCGCTCATCGTTTGAATAATAACGGCAATTTAGCCAGAGAAAAATCAGAAAAGAGAATATACCGTAGTGACAAGGAGAATGGCAGCCATACATCGAGAAGCAATACAAAAACAGATTCAACAAGACTGGGCTAACCGCGAATACATAGAAGTTATTACTGGCAGTATTAAAAAGATTACGGACTTTCTTAATTCTTTCGGTAATTTATCATTAAATTCTTATTGTGTTTGCAAAAGTGTTATTAAATTAATATCTTTAATCTTATTTATTATATCTTTTTTTGTTAGATATGTCTTGTAGGTCAAGAATAGCAGTCCTCAACGAGAAGCTCACAACCCTTGAACGGAGAATAGAATATCTCGAAGCATGCGTAAATGATTTGTTTTATTTATATTTCGATTACATTATGTGATTATAGATAACAATCTGTTTCTCAGTTTTGTTTACTTGTAACGTGTCACTTCCCTTGTGATATTGTTGTATCAAACATTTTTCTACTGTTTATTTTACATTACTTACTTATATTGGTAGTTTCATAATTGCATTTATTTTATAGGTCACAAAGGGTGAAACGCTGACGTAATAAACACCAAACACAATACATTCTTTTTACAATCCTTTTTATTTCCTGTACTAGAATCGAATAAATACATGACGAAAGCAAAATATATGCATTTCGTATCTCTTTGTATCATTAATTATACAATATGACTTATCCCCATTTGATTTATACATCAGCAGCACTAATTATTTTTTTTCTGTACGAAATGTCATTACTCCCATACTCTAGGTCCTCTAGGATCCTTAATGAGGGTCATGTCGAGTGGAAAAGAAGTATGTTGTTCTCGAATTTGCGGATGTAACGGTAAGGGTTCAAAACCAGTCAAATCACTGAACTTCTTTATTGTGGCACATGCAATTATTGCGACTGTCCAACTATGAGTTAACGGACCATTCTTCTGCCAGCGATAGATGATTCCACCTGTGGCTAATGCTGCAACGAGTAAACATTGAAATTTAATAATTATTCTTGATGAATATATAGCTGATACGTTTACATACAGGCTAAAACATAATTGAAATAGTCATCTTTTCCTCTAATTTTTGTTGATGTGTAAGCTACGGAGGCAAAAGTAGCACACATGGCAGTAAGAGGCACCACCCAGTAAGACATGCAATTTACTGTATTCCAGAAGCCTGTTGTCTGAGATAAAATTATAGAATCAAATGCGCCAACCCCGAGACCAGTGATAAATCCATATTTACTTAGCCCAACCACCTTTTCAAATGGCTGTTTGCCCTCTGGGGCATTACTATACCTCCAGTTATTCCAGAAATATGTTATTAGCATGTTGGTTGAGGCTGAAACAGAGATTGCAATGAACAGATATACAATAAATAAAAAGTTGCATGTTATTTCGAGACAAATACAGGTGTATACTTGGAAAAAAATATAAATTTCTTATGACTATATATAATTTATACTATTGTGCATTTTTGTATCTAGTGAAGAATTTTGTTAGATTTCAAATTTCCGCCATCGATCAATTTTAATACATCTAATTTTATTTTAAACAAAAGGTAGTATAAAAGAAGGACAAAGAGCCAATAATATTGATATTGGCTCTTTGGCCTTCTTTTATATTACTTTTTGTTTATTAGTACAGAGCCTTTTTTATTACTTTTAATTTTATTTTAGTACAATATTTACAATGATTTTAGTACAATATATATTTTAATATACTTTTTAAAAGAGAGAATAAGACATGCAGTATACATAAATATGGAAGAGGAAATATCTACACATGGTAGAAATAGACATAATTGTAATGTCATGACAACAGTTATTAAGTAACAATTAAAATTATTTATTCTCAAATGATGACGTGTGTGTGTGTGAACTACATACAATATAAATTGACAATAGCATACTCCGATCTTATACAAAGGAAAAAAAGAGATAAGTACCGAGATGAAGATATTCTAACTAAAGTTATGACATAACTCTCTGACGTTGATGATTATGTTTTTTTATATATACATACCGCGAGTCAAGTCTCGCCAAATTCAATTCGCCATAAAGCAGACAGTAGCACGTCGGCCAGGTTATGTCAGATTGTAATCGGAAGATATTTTAAATACGAACGTATCGTATGTATGTGCTATCACTATCGTGTAATCACGTATAGTAATGTTCGTACAAGTTCTGTATTTCAAAAATACACTTGATTGCTACCAGTAGAAAGCTATGATAAAAAACTTACAGTTGGCAGTATTGAAAATTATATGTGCTCCATTCTTCCGTGGAATCAGCTGATAGAGATGAAGATGGAAGAAATTGGTTGCAACAGAACACAATAGTTCTGAGAATCGATTCTGTATCTTGAAACGAGATGAAAATTATAAAAGTGAGCGAATTTACTAGAATACTAATAATTTCATTGGTCAAAATCTAGTAAATTTGCTTACTTTTGCAATTTTCACCTTGTTTGAAATACAGAGGCTCGATTGTATATTTTGAAATGAGGTGAAAATTACAAAAGTGAGCAATGATTATTAAATATTGACCAATTAAATTATGAATATTCTAATGAATTAATTTATTTTTGTAATTTTCACTTCATTTCAAGATACACATACTACATAATAATATTTGATATTTAATATTTGATAAATATTTGTTAGTTCAATATTCGATAAATATTAATAATTCATTATGTAACGCGTTCATATTTAAAAGTACATTTTCACGAGCTTCTCAAACTAGTTGTTTCAGTAACAGAAAGGATTATGTAGTAAAAATTGACGAATATCAAGTGTTAATTTTGATTTCTTGATCCTTTTTATCATTAAAACGTCCGGTTTGAACGATTCATGAAAATGTGCCTTAACGCTGAATCATTCTTTTCCAAGAGCTAATCAATCAGACGTTCTTACATTTCTGTTTCTCTCATGCTTGCCAACTACAAAATTGAAATCAATTAAATTCTTTGCGAGGAACGAGGATTGAAATAGATTGGAGGACGGTATTCATAGTTAAAGGGACATTTAAATCTCCGTATATATTTTAATTATTTAATTATAATTGTTATTTATAAATCATCGCAAAATGTTGCGCGTCATTGCGAGACGAGTACAGGTATATATACTCAGAAACGGAGTCAGGTTTCATTAAAATAGTGTAGTTTGTAAGTCTAACCTACTTTACAACAATATTGTTGTTGTTTTCAGGGTGTAAAAATTATTTCTTTACGGGCATTTAGCACACAGCCTTCCAGTACCAGTTCACCCACAGTGAATACCAATGTGCCAGGTCTCAGCAATAATGTTGTCAAAGTACCAAACACACGTAAGAATAAATAGTATCATTTTACATTATTAAGAAATGTTTTTGTTAAGACAAGTTCAGCTTGAATTGAAAATTTCTTCAGCTGTAGGACCCAATGCCTCCAAGAATAAGGAATACAAGAATCCCGAATACTTTTGCTATCATGTAGACTCGTTTGGAGAAGCTGAAGTGGAATTGGCAAAGTACAGGTTGCCGGCACCGTCAAATAGTAGACCATTTAATAAATAAACGATAGAATGAAAGCTTGCAGATAGTAGCGACAAAATAATAAATTTAATAAGTTGAAAAAATGTACAAAAAAGATGGCGATGACGAGCTGTGTGTGTTCAAAATTGTATTACATATTAATTAAGAAAAATCGGTTTAATTATCTGTGTGATCCCCTTTGTTGTTTTCATTTTATCTCTGGGAATCGTTCACTTCATGTTGAATGTTATTTTGTAACTGCCACTTGTAAAATGAAGAAACGGCATTGCATGAGATTTCTTAAATTCTCAGAAAAAGAGATGGAAGGGATATTCACACTAAAGAGGAGCTATTCAGCACTGCTGATTGCACATATTTGGCATATGACATAACTCCTTTTTATATGCATTTCTTCCATTCCTTTGACAGAGTCGCGTTTTAATTCTAACACAACTGGAATGTCTAGGATTAACTAGTTTGGAGTGTTTATTTATAATATAAAAATTCCGAAAAGGTCCAAAGTGCACGGACTGATTGGTTTCCCTCCTTGTCTTTTATCGATAATCATAGCTGACCGACTTCCACGTAGAACTAGAAACGTGCCAATCATACAACTGTTTGGTTCATGACATAATAAGCAACACATACATATAACTGATATAACGATGATGTCCGGTGATGTCACGCCATAATCGCCAGACTGTATAAAGTCGACCAACCTAGTCGCGTAAAAGTGCAACGCGCCCGCGCGACAAGGTTAGGGTTCGACGACGAAGACACCTCCTTCAGTCGCTTGGCTGACATCGAGTTAATTTATTCGTTACTTTTTTTGCGTTTTTTTTTCTTCGTTTTCCCCCCTTTTTTGCTTTAATTTTCCCTTTCCCGCTCGTGTCGACAGACCGACCGTCAACGAACGAAATTCCGAGTCCGGCCGGTGAGTGCTCGACTCGGAATACCAGTGAGTGCTGGATTTCTCACATTCGTGCCGGGTTCTTCGCCGATGTGAATTCACCTTCGGATCGAGATCGGCGTTCGTTCTCTTGCATTTTTCAGCGTGTCGTTTGCGCACCCGCGCAGAATACACGAGTGTGCTCCAGCAAACCACAGGCATGTCGTCCGTTGCGCGGAATCGGTTCCTGTCGACGCTCAGCGTCGCGCGGCGCCTCGTCGCCGCCGCCGCTGCCAACCACGCGCATGTAACACATACGACGTGCTGGAGGTGAGACGAGATAAGAAGCGCATTATTATTTAATCACCTCCGTGATGATCGACAAGAATATTTTTCCTCAGTTTCCTCAGTAGAACAGAATTTTTTATTTTTTTAAGATTTTCGAGAGAGAAGAAGGTTTACAATTAATGAAAACAAGAAAATCAAAATAATATCAGTTTAACGACATATTGATGAAATTTATGTCATTTCTTAGTCATGATCAAAATAACATAAATTCGGTCAAATTGACATTATTTTGATTTTTTTTTGTTCTCCTTGGGAATTTATTCTCTTTAATCAGGGCAAAAACGGTAAATCTAACGGTAATGAACAAGAATGAAAAAGTATTCTTATTTGCATGGTCAGATGATTCACAGTCAAAGCTCGTAAAAACAATGTGATGAGAAAGATCCATTAAAGGAGACGAGATAAGAATTATTATTCATCACCTGATGATCGCTGTCCAATAAAAATTTTTTATTTTTTTAAGATTTGCGAGAGAGAAAAAGATTCCGAATTAAGGAGAACAAGAAAATTAAAATAATGTCAATTTAATGACATATCGACGAAATGTCATTTTTTTGGTCATGATAAAAATAAATAAATTCGGTCAATATGATATCAAATTGACATTTTGATTTTTTTTTTGTTCTCCTTAGGATTTTATTCTTTTTGATCAGGACAAAAATGGCAAATCTAATGAACAAGAATGAAAAAGTATTCTTATTTGCATGTCCAGATGATTCACAGTCAAAGCTCGTAAAAACAATGTGATGAGAAAGATACATTAAAGGAGACGAGATAAGAATTATTATTCATCACCTGATGATCGCTGTCCAATAAAAATTTTTTATTTTTTTAAGATTTGCGAGAGAGAAAAAGATTCCGAATTAAGGAGAACAAGAAAATTAAAATAATGTC